TGCCGGAGCGCCGAGCCCAGGGGGCGGAGCACATGAGCCGCACCTTAACCTGCTCCTGGACGTCATGACGCCGCGGAGAACGCTGACCAATAGGAGGCCGTGAGGGCCAGGGGGCGGGGCTAGGAGTTAGGGCTGGGCCCGCTGAAGCGCTGTGAGAGTCCTGCGGCCGCAACGAGTGGGGACTGAAGAGTGGCGCTTTCGGACCGGGCCTGCCCCCAGCCTGTCGCCTGCTCTCGCGCCTCCCGCATGGTGCGGGCTGCTAGCTGAGCGGCAGCGGCGGCGGCGAGGCATGACGGACGCGCCGCTAGGCGTCCAGGCTTCCCGTCGCCGGCACTTCCTCCCGCGGCGCCCGTGCGAGGCCGGCGAGGCCGGAGGGATGGCGGCCGCGGCCCGGGGAAGCTGCCGCTTCTCGGCGCCCCGGCTGCTTTTGCTCCTGCTGGTTGCGCTGCTCTGGGCTCCGGCAGAGGTCCGGGCCGGCCCGGACGAAGACCTTAGCCACCGGAACAACGACCTACCGGCGCCCGCCCAGCAGCTGCAGGCTCAGCCCGCGGCTGTGCAGGGGCCCGAGCCGGCCCGGGCCGAGGTGAGCAGGCCGGGCCGGGCCGGCACGCGGGGGATGGGGCGCGCGGCTGCGGAGCCGGCTGCTCCGGGTACCGGGATCTGGGCGCCGGCTGGGGGAGGGGAGCCGCCCCTAAGCTCCGGAGGAAGGCGGCCGGCTGCACCCGGTTCCCAGCGAGGCCTGGCCTTGCGGAACTTCTTAGGGGAAGGGGGAGAAGGAAGGGAGGGCCCAGTAGGGAGCCTGCTGTGAACCTTTCTGATCTCGCGGACCAGGATGCTGCTGGGGAATCGGGCCTCTTAGTGATCTACAATGTCAAACTGGAAACGCTGGAAACACTCATCCCAAGTAGAAAGTTTCTAGCACTGGGCAGCTAGGAGACTTTCTTTTCTTCTTCATTCTCTTAAGGATAATCACATCGACCGTTTCATTGGTGAAACAGCTTATTCAGAAACAGCTTACTCAAATTCAGCTTGGCACGGCTTGTTTTTTTGCCAAATACAATATATGTGTATTATGATCCGTGACTCTCCCTATTTTAAGACATGCTTTGGCTTGCTGGAAGCAGCCTTTATGAACGCAGAGGAGGAATCAGTTTTTGACAGTACAGAGTGCTGCAGCCGTCTGGAATGCAAAAACTGAATTTATAAGTATATTTTGTTTGATCTTCAGTAAACAGATATAAATTAACTTTTTAATCTGTGTTAATAGAGTCCATCCTTTCTTAGTCTCTTGGCGTTCTCTCTGTTTCCAATTTCGACTCCTGAATTCTGGACTTTAGTCTCCTAGTAGGGGTCAGTCTGGCATTAACCCCCCACCTCCACCCCTGTTTACATCGTCTTATCTTCACATAAGTAATCTTACTGAACATTTAATTCCGTCTTCTTAGAAACCTTGGAATTGACCCTGCCTACTAATTTCAGTCCAACCTTCTTAATAGGATGGTTATTTAGGTTTCTTAATGATCTGGCCTCAGTTAACCCCCAGGCCTTTTAGCAAATACTACCTCTCTCACATTCTACACTTTTTTTTTTTTAAAGCCTGCTTCATTCGGACGTGGTGGCCTATGTCAGTGATCCCAGAACCCTGGGAGCTTGAGGCAAGTTCTATCCCAGCCTGGGGAGTTTATTAATGTAGCAAGACGCTGCTTTGGGCTGGGGTTGTAGCTCAGTTCTAATGCCCCATGTTCCATCCCCAGCCTGAAAAAAAAAGTGCTTCTAGAACTCTCTGTGATATGCCATGTGCTCTCTTGTCTCTCCCAGACAAAAAACTTTCAAGAAAGAAAGCCTCAGCTTGAAGCCTGTGGTCAGGACTCTTTCTACTTTCAAGGACTGGCAGATACCTACTCTTTGGGGGAGCTTTCCTTAAAATTTCCTGGTTTAAAGTAATTTCTCTTTCTTCTGACTAATGTGGATTTTCATTTGTTCACATTATTGTCTATTACTTTGGCCTTTCCAGTTTTTTTGTTGGTATTTTTTTTTTCTTTATGTAAGTACCAGAGGATGGCCATTTCACACAGCAAGAACTGAGAGAGCTGTCCAGAATGTAGTAATTGATGTTGAGAAATAATGAGATTCTCCTTATTGGAAATACTCAGGAACAAGTTGAATAATTGGCCATCTATGAGAAGGTTTAAAATTATCATGAAGTAAAGATTCTGTGATCTGATTTTCTCACAACAGCAGTTGAAGCAGGTAGAGCAGGTGCCATTTCCTGTTCTTGGATGAGGAAACCCTTTAGGAAAGAGTGATGGTTTAATGTCCCAGAGCTGCAAGCTAGTTCCAAGCAGAACTAAAATTAGAATCCACCCTGCTCAGTCTTACCAAGTGCTCTTAGCACTCATTGTGTTATTCTCTTTTAACCTATTTAATTTAATGGTTAATTGGGAAGTGCTGATACAGGGCTTTGATCTAGATGCCTACCTTTCCCTGTCTCCCTTTCATGAGGGTATTTTTGTTTGTTTTAAATTTCTGTCTGTGTTTATACTTATAGTCGGCTGCTTCGTATTTTCCTAATATGTGCATCTATTTTATCTGCTACCACTATTTTTTAGTGTCCTGAGAATATGATTGGTTATATCTTACTCATTTTTGTCTCTTCTGTACGGAGTTTGCCTATTCTTGCCCTTTATTAATTTTCTCAGTAAAATTGAAGTATTTGCATGTCTTTTTTTTTTTTTTTTTGGTACCAGGGATCGAACTCGAATCCTCACGCTTGCGCAGCAGGCGGCGAAACCACTGAGCTAAATCCCCAGCCCTGCATGTCATTTTTATCAGTTACTAGGCACCTGTATGGAAAAACTGGCTATTTACATGAATCAACTGGGATTCCACTAACCCATTAATAGCCTGGTGTTGGTTTAGAAAATTTAGTTTCAACTGATTATGTAGTTAATTCTAGGGCTCTTATAAAATTAAAAAAAAAAAGATCAGAAGAAGCATTTGAACTCAAGAGTAACAAATGTCCTGTGATAACAGAAATGTGTAGTGCAAATCAGGTCAGAGGTGTACAAGAAACGTGAGTCACTTACCGTGATAGAAGCCAGGGTCTCTAGTCCACAGTGAGGAGCAGTGGAAAGGGGCCTTCCTATTCGCTTCCCCTCTGTGCACCCTATCTCTCCCAGCTGGAGGTCAGGCCTGGGGCTGCCATTGAGACAGCCCTTCTAGTCTCCCTGTTTCAGCTGACCTGCTCCACACATCCACTTCTGAAATTGAACTCAAATCCTGATTCATTTATTCTTGGTGTTCATCGTCTAGCTCATTATCTTTTAACTCAGTATGAGAACTGAATTTTAAAACAATAACTCTTTTTGGGTTAAGTAACTTTGCATGTGAGAGATTGATGGTCGTGTAACCTTCAAGCATTTCACTGAAATTTTATGTTGTGATTTTTTTTTCTTATTGTGATACTGGAGATTGAACCCAAGGCAAGTCGAGCTACATTCTTAGCTCTTTGAGATAGACTGTCACTAAGTTGCTCAAATTGGTCTCAAACTTGCAATCCTCCTGCCTCAGCCTCCTGAGGAACTGGGATTAAAGGCATGTGCCATAGTGCCCAGCTTTTATGTTGCAATTTTTAAGACAGAAATAGTGGTATGTATAACTGTTAATAGTAGCTATAGCTATTAATAACCCTCTTTAGGAAGCTAGGAAAAATCTAAGCATGTAAAGTAAATGCCATAATGGTAGAGTTTGTCCAGTGACTACATCTAATTGGTCTTAAGGATCCTTATCGTTAAAACTAGGTCCAAATGGAAGGGGCATATACAGTATAATGTTTTTTTCTTTAATATTTTCATATCTTCTTGGTGGTTCTTTTGAGCTGGAAATTTATTCTAATCTCTTATAGCAGAATGTTATCATTAAAGTGTTGTATTTTCACATAACCTTTTAATACAACTCATTTTTTACTTTACACTACTACAGCATTTTTTAAGATCTTTTAAAAGGGTGGGATTTAAATTTAGCCTTTTGATGGCACTGTGGCATCAGGTGGAAGATACATTATGAATAAGTAGGTGTATCTTCTAGAGATGCTTTAAAGTGAAGTGGCTGAACTTTTAAAATAGGGCTTTCTAGGGGCCAGGGATTTAGCTCAGTGGTTCCACTGCCTGCCTTACAAGTGCAAGATCCCGAGTTTGATCCCCGGTACCAAAAAAAATAGGGCTTTCTAAGGAACTCTTCTCCATTGTTGGTGGGAGTGCAGACTGGTGCAACCACTGTGGAAATCAGTATGGAGATACCTCAAAGAACTAGGGCTAGAGGTCCCATTTGA